AGATTTTTTAAAAATAGAAAAATGGCTAAGATTAACTAAGCGAAAAAAATGATTCACAAGTGATGGATCCAGGACAATCTACTAGCACTATGAATATTGAAACGAAAAGAAAAATTGTTTATAGAAAATAAAATGAGAGTTATTTATCATTTGAGTTTACTTGGAATGGAGATGAAATGGATCCTCAACCTCGATGTGCTGTTTGCGGTGAACCGTTAGCCATTCAAAGTATGAAACCATCATATCTTAAAAGACATCTTGAGTCTAAGCATGCCTACAAAGGATAAATCTGAAGACTATTTTAAGAGGAAATTAACAGAGTTTAAAAATAGTAAACAAATAATGAAAGATTTTGTTTTGGAAGCTTTGAAAGCTAGTTAGTTACCTAGTAAGCCCAAGAATTGCCAAAACTGGGCAGGCTCAAACTATTGGAGAATACCTTATATTACCAGCAGCTAAAGATATCATTTTAACATTATTCAATGAAAAAGCGGCTAATGAATTAAATAATATTCCGTTAACAAATGATACAGTGAGTTGACAAATTTATGAAATGGCAAACTCCATAAAAGAGACACTTATTCAAAAAGTAAAACAGTGTGAGTATTTCACATTACAGTTGGATGAAAGTACTGATATAATAAACTTTGTTCAATTATTAGTTCACATACATTTCGAAGAAGATAAACGAACTGCTGAAGAGCATTTATTTTATGAATTTCTACATGATATAGAGCAACTGCAAATGAAATTGTCTTTTTGAATTGACAATTTTACATCTGAGAATGACATTCCTTGGAATAAGTGCATAGCCGTGTGCAGTGACGGAGCTCAGGCTTTCACAGGAAAACATTCCAGTGTTATTTCTCAAATACAGAAAGTGGCATCTAAAACTAAATTACTTCTCCATTCCTTGTGAAGCTTTAGTAGCCAAAACAATCCTACAAAATCTCAAAATCTTTTCCTGTCATTTATGAAAAGCCAAGATTTAAATTCAAGAATATTTACAATTTTATGCCAAGAGATCGGCAGTAAACATGAAAGAATTTTGTTACATTCCAAAGTGAGGTGGTTATCCAGAGACAAAATTTTTTAATTGTTTTTTTGAACTTCGATCAGAAATTCAAATTTTCCTCTGTGATCCAAAATTTGAATTGAAAAAATATTTATTCAGTGAATTATGGTTGGCGCGTTTAGCATATTTAGAGAAAATTTTTGCAAAGTTAAAATGAGTTAAATTTACTATTACTAAGAGTGTTTTACCATTAGTGATAAAATAAATGCAATGATAAAAAAAACCAAGCTAATAATCAAAGAATTGGATAATATTCTAAGCTTTTTACAACTTCATTCATCAAAAGGTTGAGAACCACTTATCTAGACCCAAAATAAGAACGATAAAGATATGAGATTTTAAATATTCCATTACACTAAACACATTTATCAAACTCTAACCTACAAGAAACAATGTGTTCATCCACATTTAATGGTAAAGAAGCTGTCCTTTTTTCAGCTGCTAAATTTAAGAGGTGACAGGTGCACTTCATAATCTGCAAATCTGAATTTGCCTTTCTTAAGATGCCTGCAACACCAGTCATCAAGGTGCATTATTGGCACCAAGCGCTAAGGAATTATCCAGAGGGACAGCATTTTATTTTAAAGTTTTAATAATTAGCTGTGCTATATTAAAGCCTGTCGAATGTCCTTCTAAAGTGGGGACAGAAAGTAAACTGCACTCAATTTCTGAAGACTCTGGATTAAAAAAAGAAACAACAATTGGATACAGTTTTGAATTGGTATTATTGCTTCCATCCGTAGAGAGGCAGAACGGAGCTGTTTTAATGCAATCAATAACTGAAGATTTATTTTTCAAACCCATTTCTTTAACAATTGCACCTGTTTTGGTACAAGGTTAGCACGTACAAGGATTTTCTTCCATGTTATATATGAAAAATAAATAAAGAACAAAATTAAAAGTGGATCCTGAAATTGATCTCTCTTAAACAGGCCCAAATTCCCCACTAAATTTTATAATTAAAGTATTATAATTTAAATTTTGATAATTAAAATGGTAACCAATTTTAATCTAATATTTTTATGTGTGCATATTTAATACAAATATGCCAACAGGTTGTGCAAATGGCAATATATATTATATATTAATATTTCTATTGAGCAATTGAAAAATAATCATTGCAAAATGTAGAAGTGGTACTAAAGTTTTTAATTTTTTTTTTAGATGGTATACGTTCATTCATCAAAAGGTTGAGAACCACTTATCTAAACCCAAAATAAGAACGATAAAGATATGAGATTTTAAATATTCCATTACACTAAACACATTTATCAAACTCTAACCTACAAGAAAATATTTTTCTTGAAACAGGCACTGATATACAACATATATTGCAACTGGCATACAGTCAGTTGCAATAACATCAACAACTCAGAAATCTAAGTTTTATTACCCAAGAAACTTAATAAACAAAAGCAAACTTTCTTGACTTTCATTTCATATTAAATTTTCAATGCTATAATTCTAAATATAAAATAAGGTTAGTAAATAGGTTTTAAATATCACAGTAACCATGTTTTCATGTTTCATCAAATCTTAAAACTAAAAAGAAATCATTTTTATTGATCAATAATGGCTGACTGCTACTATATTACTATATGATAGAAGGAATTTTCATATGAATTATGAACACATAAAAAATAATTCTATATTTCATTAAAGGGGAAAAATAAAAAGGAAGTAGCTAAATTAACTGCAGATACACTTGGTACACAAATATGTATTCAGTAAGTTTGTTACAGAAATTAAGACAATTTATTTGTGTAATTCAATGATAATGATAAAAATATTGAAAATATGTTTATGTACATCAAAAAATTTTAGAAGATCCCCTCACACAATTTAAATCAATGAAAAAAAAATTAATCTTAAAAATGAAAGCTAATGCTAACTGATGTACATCACATACTATGAAGCTTATGATGTGCATAAATGTATACGTATCACAACTAGGTTCCAAAAATTCAATACAGCTAAAATCAATTCAATAAAGTGAAAATCAATAAAATGAGGACAGTTATTTTTTAAATATGAAAAATTATTAAATTTTTTTAATTCATGCATTCCTAATTTTACTGAGCAATACATAATTATAACTGACTAGAAGTGCATTACATCTGTAAAACACTTTTCATTGAATCACTTCATTAGAATACTGCATGTATATTGATTTAGCATAATTTTTTCAATATCAACAAGTGCATATGAAAATCAGCAGACACTTTGGACATTTGGAACAAGAAAAGGGTTAAATGCTTTAAAAGACAGATGCGTACTAACATATATTTTCATACTTTGATGGTGCAATTCCTTCACATTTTGAAAGACTAAAATATATTAAGCAATTAAAATCAGTATGTTCAAGCTGCCTCAGCTGGTAAGTGTTTATTTTTTAATTTTTGAAAATGTGTAGAACATGCTCATAATAATTATATTAGCTAGGTTATATATATTATCATAGACTGTAGATCACAAAATAAACAACAAATTTCAAAAAAATAAAAAGTAGACAATAAAAGAAATATTCTCACAGGGGACCTTAAAAAACTATTATGCAGCTGGTCAGACATAAAGCCTAAGAGAAGTTGCACTCTCAATATCAAGATATTGTGAGCAAAATAGCGATACTGTGAACAAGAGTATCAATATATTTGATGACATCATAAAGTACCAAAAAAAATCTATTTAATGATATTTTAAAATAAATTCAGGTATTTTATATTTATTAAGTAGCATACATAAGCATTAAATTTCATGACGGTATGTCATCATACTGCTAGAATTAGTTTCAGGAATATACCTGGAATTGGAAAGTTTTATGAACTAATAATAAATAAATTTAGAAGGAAGAAGCCACATTAAAATAATTTACCTAAAGATTAAAAACTTAATTACAATAATCAACGATATTTGGCAAATATAATTATATTAAATGGTTGGCCTAGATGACTAATTACTTTTTTTATTTAATTTATTTTACTGCAAAAATAACAAATAAAGCATTTTAAAAAGAAAAAAAATTTTTTTAAAGATTTTGTGGTAAAAATCCTAGTATATGGTTATGGCCTTGCCAAGATTTAGAAAATTGTTGCCAACACCAAAATGACCCGCTTAATGCTTATCATAACGTCACCAAATACGCTTATCATAACGTGCATACTGTATACTTGGATTAAATCGATTTTGTTTTTCAGGAGAACGAGAAGGTATTTTCTTTAGTTCAACATGCATTGCATAAGCACATGCAAACCTCTCGATTCTAGAGGTTACTAGAAACCAAAGTTGCTGCAAACTTGCTTTTGCATTTCTGAAAAACAATTTGATTGGAGCTGAGAAAACTGGCTATATGCCGGCTTCCCAAATGCACATGATACATAATTCGAAAAGAAAGTGATCGCTTCCGACGCTGGCATAAAAATCGCTTTTGGGGGGGGGATTGCAGCATGAAATTTCCCGACTTTTCCAGATTTTGTTTAAAATATTTAAATGTCCTGATTTTTCCCCAACTTTTTTAGTCAATTTTAGAATTCCACGACTTTTCTCAGCTTTCAGGTTTTTCAGGTAGCATGGCAACCCTGTTTAACTCAAACTACTAAACTAAGTCAAACTGTCTCCAGAACGGATTGTGTTTAAAGTTCAGATTCCACTGTGTGGGCTGGCCATTTCCTTTCCAATAAATAATTGTTCTTATCAAATTAATGAAAAATATCACATTCATGTTTCTCTTTATCTGAGCAATTAATAAAAGATCATCAAACCTTTTAAATATCAAACTGCAAATCTGTCATTCAGTTACAAATTTATAAGATTCTGCATAATTAAAACTAAATTAATTATAGTTAATGAATTATTAAAAAATGCATAATTTTTCATTTCATCTGAAAACAAATGGTTGTAGAAGTGGGTCAATCAAGAAAAGGCACACCTTGTTCGGGAGCAACTTCAGGAAGGTATGTAGCTGTTCGTTTGTAGCCTTTTTCTGTATTAAATTCAATACGTATACCATGCATACCAATCTAAAAAGAAATTTTAAAGTTAATATATATTGAAAATTTAATATATTTCTGCTAAAGACAAAACTGTGGATATTAATATACCTAATTTCCATTACAAAATTTGAAAGCTGCATTTCTAATTCAAAAAAATAAAGGGTATATTAAAAGAAAAGAATATACAAAACTATAAAGTATATTATTTTAATTATAAGAAAATAATAATAAATAAATTATAAGAGAAATGAATATGACTGAATAGATAATAAATTTTGTTTTAAGAAATACCATAATTTTTCATTAAACAAATAAATGCCTAGATACACAATTACAATAATAAATAATATGTCAATATCATGCTGTAAATAAAAGACTTTTCTCCTGCATTTAGATTATTATACAAGGTCTGTAAATTAAATAATGGCAACACAGGTATAAATAAATTTTTAATGAACTTACAAGTACAATTGCATTACGTTCCTTCTATGTAATCACCAGCAAAGCTTATAACCTTTTGCCAAATGTCAGGAAGCTGTTGTAGACCAGCGGCAAGGTGTTGATTGTTGATTTAAGCGACCGAGCGCCCTACTGCGTGAAGTACAGATGAAACGTCATGAAATCGGTGACCTCGGAGGGGTTCCTTCAACTTCGGAAACAGATTGAAGTCATAAGGACTCATGTCAGGTGAGTAGGGAGGGTGTTCCAGGATTTCCCACTGCCACCATTGCAAAAGGAGAGTGACATTGTTGCAACATGGCAACGAGGGTTGTCATGCAATATGATAGGGAGATTGTTGTGCAATAAACGTGGACGTTTGCGCAGCATAGCCAGACGCAGATGGTACTGTAGAAATCAGCAATAATAATCTGCGTTGAAAATTTGTCATTCACGTACAGCATATGTAAAAATCATACCGTCCCAGTCGTATGCCATAATCAGCATAGCCTTCACCCGAGTGGGTTCCTGTCAAAATTTCTGTGGATGTGGCGAACCTTGGTGACGACATTCATTTGATTGACGCTTTAATTCAGGTTCATAGGCTCTTTCCCATGTCTCATCAATGGCGACAGTATTTTGCAGAAATGCGTCTCCTACATTGCAGTATCTCTCCAAGTGGGTGCCAGCCAGTGCAAAGCGGTGCCATTTTGTTAGTCGATGTGAAACACAGCGGGAAGCAATTTTCCTCATGTTGAGAGATTTCATTATGCGCCACACCGTTTGATGACTCAGACCAACCTCTAAGGATAATTCTCGGACAGTCCATCGGCGGTCTATAGTAAGGACACCGCTCAGGATGTCAATCATGTCAATCTGCTATTGAGGAATGGAGGGCTGACCTGTGCATTGCAAATCTGCAGTCTCATTCAGACACGAAAGAAATGCTTGAATCCATCGTGCTACTGTCTTATGCAGCAAAGCATGTGTACTACAGACTTCTACTAATCCTCGATAGCATTCTGTTGCACTTCTGCCACGGGCAACCTCGATTTTAAGCCACGACCGCTGATCACCTTTTGAAAACATGCTTTAGAGTGATGGAAACAAAACTGAACAAAACTGCTCACTTTAACGCCACACAACAACTACCCTTCTGAGCAGATCGACTGTTTTTTGCACTCTACACATCGAAAACAGGCGTCACCACTCACATATCCTAATTGCGCATGCCTGCCCTTCGGCGAGTTTCAAGGTTAAGTTGCCACTATTTAATTTACAACCCTTGTATTTATAATAACTTCATAATTTTCTGTCTTGGTAACAATCAGCACTGAACAAACATTATGATAAATAGTCATTATCTGCATATGTTAAACCATTTATAAAAGCTTGTTTGTATGCATGTCAAAATGCAAGCAACTAGCAATTTACCAATCTGCAAAATAAGTTAGATATTAATTATTCATTCCTAGATAGAAAGGAAGTCATTCACAATTTTGGACCAAAGTACATAATATACGACATCATAAACACCTTTTATTACTTAAAATAAGAGTGAAAACTGTTTAAATTCCTGACGTTCATTAAAAGTTACATGAATCTAATATATTATAAATCAAAGTATTCAGAGATATTCAATATATTAAATATATAAATTAAGAGTATGTATAATAGTTTTAAATCATCTAGTTAAACAATGGAGCATTTCAATAGTAGCCACAAAAAGAAATGCAATATATAAGCGAATTTAGAATTTATTTATTTAATAATGTTTAATATTAATCAATAATGTAACAGCTATTATTACTGATAACCATTTACCATCTGCTGATCAAATATAAAATAATATATTGCTTTTTAAATTCAATCACTTCATCAATGTCTCTTTATTGCTTTTATGTGAAGTTTTATCACATAACAGTCTTCCATATATGCACACTTTTTTGATACAAAATTAATGTATCAGCTATAATTATTAAAAAAAAAAATAAATAAAATAAAAAAAAATAAATAAAGGGCAAGTACTATTGGGTTATTCTCATGCACTAATAAATTTTCATCTTCTGGCATTATTTCCTACCTGATAAGAATGAATTCAAGATTAGCATATACCTGTGGAAGTACATCAATAACTGTGGAAGTTAAGCAAATTGTGGAAGAGCGTCAATTAGAATGGCTAATATTACACTCTTAACAAACCCTGGATATCAGTATAGCCAATATTCACAAAAAAACTCCTTCACAAAAAAACTTCTCAGATCAAATCACCATGTAATGCATTTACTGCATAAAATACACAAAAATTTAATGAAAAAGGATAAATGCAAACAGCCCCCAACACACCCACATAATATTTATTGCCTCTAGCAAAGTTAGACATTTTGTAAATTCTTTGTTTTGTTTACATTTATTCTTAAATGTTCAACATATTTCCTGTAAATTATTGGCTTGTAAATTATGAATCATAATCCATAACTTTACAGCCCACCAGCGTCCAATGTCCATACTCTTGTCATATACAATGGAAAATCCTTCAAAATTAGGTGATTTTGTTTGATCCGATCACACTTAAATTGGCAGCCAAATCAGTAATTCTTTCTGCAACTGCATTTCAAGAAAAAGAGCCTTGAAAAGGCTTCACATTTTCCAGATAAACAATTTCTACAGCTTTAAGTAGACATTCCTTGATCAAATCACCTTCAGAGAAAGGTTTCGAGTGTTTAGCTATCAACTCCAACAAGTTATAACTTGCATGCACTGCTACTTCACTTTTTTTTAATACTTTACTAAACATGAATTGATGTTTTTCAGTTCCAGTTTTAAATGCGTTAACTTTTCTTGTCTCATGAATCCCTCCCTCATAATCATCATATTTTAAACGTTCATAATGGAGTTTAATGTTATATAACTTTTGAACTATAATAACATTATTACACATCAAATAGACTATTTTATTTTTTCCTTCACAGCAAAAATATTCCAATTCCCACTTTTCTTGAAAATTTCAGTGTTCACCAGCAGTTTTCCATTTAGTTTTACTACAACTTGGCTTTGACAAAGTCATGGGTACTAAATGCCAAAAACTAAATATCAACTGTTTGCACTTTCTCCTTATGATAGGATTGCAACTGTGAGCATCAGTCGACAGAACCTTAACAAGACGCATCTGAGAAACCAGCAAATCAGTTATCTAGAGCGGATCATCCTCTTGGAGCATTTTAGCTAAACAAAGAAGAGAAAAATCTACTCAAATAAAGAGAGCTACTTGAGTCACTTCAAAAGCATGATTGGTGTGTCATTTAACAACTCTCAAAAACCAATGAGCTATGTGCTAATGTGATGGGAGAAAGTACTAAATAGAAAATGAACTTGGGCATTCTCTATGCACACGGGCATAACAGTCAACTTCACTGTGACAGAGAGGGTGCCAGGCCACACATATAATTCATTGTGGGCTGCATGCGGCCTGTGGGCCCATGAGTTCAACACCCTTGGTGTTGAGGTTTAGTAAAGAGCAAGCAGATTTTATGTCAAATAGCATAAGTTAAAATGAGAAGTAAAATCATAACAGCATGATCCGTAACAGAAGACTGGCCATTGCTATTGCTGCTGCTTGCCTAGAGAGAGAGACTTACTCATCAGAACAGACCTAAATGCTTGATGTTGACATATGGGCAACCAATAAGCCATTAAAGCATCTGAAGTGATTGTTTTGTATCATTTTAAGTCTCACGAGCTATAAGGAATAAGTTTTGCATAATTTTTTTACATTTTTGTGTTGTACGAGGGCTATCCAGAAAGTAGATTAAGTTTTGGAATAAAAAAATAAACAAAGTATAGGAAACAAATTTTATTATATACAGATGAAAGCCACACTCAAATACTACTTTTCTACATAGTCACCATACAAATTAAGGCATTTATCGTAGCGATGTATGAGCTTGGAAATTCCTTCGTCGAAAAATTCGGCCGCCTGCGCCTTCAACCACTTCGTTACCTCTTCTTGCAGCTGTGCGTCGTCATCAAAACGCTGCATAGCCAGCCACTTCTTCATTGCTGGGAATAGGTGGAAGTCGCTCGGTGCCAGGTCGGGACTGTACGGCGGATGAGGAAACAACTCCCACTTAAAAGATTCAAGAACTTTATGAGTGACATTTGCCGTGTGGGGCCGGGCGTTGTCGTGAATCAACAAGATCTTAGAGCTCAACATTCCTCTGTGCTTGTTTTGAATTGCTCTTCTGAGTTTTTGGAGAGTTTGGCAATACCTTTGAGAGTTTATTGTAGTGCCTCTTTCCAGGAAGTCCACCAAAATTACACCTTTTCTGTCCCAAAAAACAGTCGCCATCATCTTCCTTGCCGACATTGTTTGCATGCATTTCTTGGGTTTTTTTGGGGAGAACTTGTGTGCCCCCACTGCATTGATTGCAATTTCGTTTCACAGTTCACATGTTTCACCCATGTTTCGTCACCAGTAACGATGCGATCGAGTAAAGAGTCACCATCCTTATGGTAAGCGTCCAAAAAGTTTCAACGCTGCAGCCATTCGCTGATTTTTTGTGGTCCTCTGTCAAGATTTTTGGAATCCA